ACTTTGTACTTAAGTACTTTAAAATGCATGTACTTCTGAATACTTAAGTATTTTCAAAAGTAAGTACTTCAGTACTTTTACTTGAGTAGATTTTTGACTGAGTAACTTTTACTTGTAGTGGAGTAGATTTGACCATGAGTATCAATACTTTTACTCAAGTACTAGAGTTGAGTACTTTGTCCACCACTGGAGCTATGTCACTGGGTGACACTCCCAGTCCCAGCCCTTCTCCACCTGCGCACTTGTTGCAGTTCTGATCTACGGTTAGGCCGAAGTGTGTCTCTAGTAGGGTTGCCAGATTGGACTGATTGTTTCCAGCCGAAACGCAACTTAAAACCCACCCAACCACAAGAAAACAGCCCGAATCTCAAACCCCATTGACATATGTTAAAGACGTAGAACTGTAAAATATACTATGGGATCCTGTCTGGTCTTAACATCTCCTGAGAGCATGTAGCCACCTTTCATGCTTTCTTTCCATCTTCGCTGTTAACAAATTTTTTTTCCTCCTCGGACTCCTCGCCCAACACAACTTACGTATACATCATTGAGCGAAACAACTATCTGTTCTACTATAGTATCATTGTTGTTTATATATGCTTAGCTATGCCCTGTGATACATTGGAAGTGCTGTGAGAGGGCAGAGGGAGAAATTATGATAACCATGGGATAGCCATGCGTCTTCAGCCACACTATAAACAGAAAATGACGTTCAAAATGACGTACTCACCGATCTGCTGTCTCACATTGTATTGGAGTATAAACCAAGATTAAAGGTGAAATGAAGGCTACTTTAGTTGGTGAAATAACTAAATAATTTCATAGTATATGTTATATGTAGTATGAATATTAATAAAATGTCTAAATATTGTTGTAAATTTGACCAAAACGTAATTTTCTACAAATTGTGAGAAAAAGAACATACTTTTGCATCCCATTCAGAGCTCCAGCAGGGGGGCGCAGTTTGTGTGACGTAATATTTGTTGAATGACTCTCGCTCCCCGTAGGATTACATTTAGAACAGCTTTTGTTTTTAAGACTTTTACATTGTGGACTTGAAATGGAATATTGTGTGGCCTTTGGATTCACATGTGGTGCAGGGTCAGCTGCCAGCTTTTTAATTTTTATTTTTTTAAGACCCTGAGGGCAGAAGGTTTGTGTTGATGCGATGTGGAGGAAAGACTTTAAARCCATGAATCCTAGCCCCCCCAGCTCTGTTCAGACCATTTAAAGACTCAAAAAGCATGGTTACAAGACTTTGCCTTTTCAGTGCTTCACAGTTTGAGTAGATCCTTTCATTTTGTGACCAAAAGGCTCGATCTGAAGGAGGATGCCAACAATATTATAAACAACACAGCCATGTGAGGACACGCTCTGCTGCGGTCATAACAGGAACTTTTTTAGCAGCCGCAGGAGCCAAAAGTCTGCAACAAAGTGAGTTTTATATTAATTATGAGCATAATCTGATCTGTCTCGTTCATTGCTCAGAAAGCTACACTGAGTACCTCGAAGCGAGGCTACAGGAGAGTCGACGGCTAGCAGGCTAACAAGCTAGCTTCTCTTCGTGTGAAACAGCTACGGGTAAAATAGTGCTCCAAGCTGTGCTTCTTTCTGTACGATATTTAGCTGAAATGATCCATTCCCAGTTAAATTAAAAAGATGAACGGCTTTGATGGTCAGCTGGTCTGATCTTGAACACACAACCGCCGGTGTTTACTCATTCTCGCCGGTGTTACATCGAGCCGCGTTTCCCCATCAGATACGGCTCCCCCGGTGTCTCCGGCTCCCCCGTCAACGTGGAAAAAATAAATAATAAGCTTCTCCTCCTCCGAGCCTTCACTCAACAACACTGCTTCAACACTGAGTGAAAACAACTATTTTTCCAGCCATCAGTTGCTTCACTATGACGCAGTGCTGCGGGTGGGCAGACGGATAAATTATATTTTAGAACCAGCAGCGCAGAGTCTTCAGCCCGTTTAATGCTCGGACCGAAACCGGAGAGACACTCCGGTTAGTTTTTTTTCTCCACTCTGTGTGACTGGTTCAGATCTGTACGGCTGCATGGTTTTTATCTTTAGTTTCATAGTGAAATCTGATTCACTATCATAGGCGCGCATAATAAGAAGTCAGATTGTTTGACGTGTGATTTCGGGCTCTGCTCCGTAGCTCCATTTAGCAGGTGGAAAATCATATTTTTAAACATTTTTTCATTACAGTTGTGAATAATTTAAATCACAAATAAAATATAAGAATGCAAAATATGCAAAATACACATTTTTGGGGCTTTTTCCTTCATTTCACCTTTAAGATTACAACTGCTCTAGTAAAAATGACAGAGTCAAATAAAACTTCAAAAACTTTGTGGAGGGAGATTGGACAATTTTGTGCACGCATCACAAACACCAGCTCTCCAGTCTGGTGGTCTTTCATCAAAAATTTACAAAATAGTTTTTCTCATTTGGTTCTTCTATCGTCAACTGAAAATAAAGGTCCACTCTGACCACCTGTGGTGATTCTGTTTGTACATGACGCGTGTGRCTGTGGAAGGAGATATTAGGATTTATACCCCGCAGTTTCTTCTTGAGTGTGAACAATAATCGAAAAAATTACCATCCAAATTCCTTAAGAGAAGTCGTTGTTTCGCGTCGTGTTGGAGTATAATGAACTCTTTACAAGAAACAGCATCTGAGAACTGCCTCAGCAGGTCAAACTCACTTTGACTCGCTTATCTTTGTGACACAATTTCTAGCATTGTTTTTACCTTTAATGTGACAGACTTGCAGAATTTGAGCTGCAGTAAGTTTTTCCTGTTGAATAAAAAAACACAGTCAGGAAATGTATTCCATGGAAAAGTTCAAAATCAACAAGGAGCGGAAAGGTTTGCAAATCTTACCCGATCCACACTAATGGACGGTCTGAGAGACGCCAAAAGGAAAAAGAGACAAAGAAAAGGAGAGTCAGAGAGGTCAGATAAAATTTACTTAAGTTATCAAATATCTGAGCTAAACATTTGGGAAGGCTTTGCAACAGAACAGCACTGCTAAATCAAATCCACCTGCATCAAATATGTGTGACTACAGGAGAACACAGCTGAGTGGTGACAGAATGTTGAGCTGCACTCTTTCACTGTATCAAACAGAAATTTAAATGCTGTGGATAAACTCTTTGCACTGTCTAAATTAAATATTTACAATACAACTCTCCCTTTTCAGTTTATCCTTATACATCAGTCTTATGTGTGATGTAGAGCAGAGACAGAAGCATTAAAGAATGGATCCTAAAAGGCTTCTGTCTGACAGTGCAGGGTTTCCCCTACATGTAATTGATCATGGTGCACTGCCATGGCAAAAATCATAGATGCCACACTTTCAGAATAAAGTTTTTTTT